CCCCATACCCGTAAAAACTGAACGGTCCCTAAGGTATATGTAATATTAGTTACGTAAACAACCCTGGTTTTATTTTAGCCTGGACATGGTTTCAATCTGGTATAAACACAGACGGTGCGCACAATCCAGTTACTTCAAGGGAAGTTAAGAAAGGAGACATATTGAGCATGAACAACTTTTCAATGATAGCTGGGTAGGTAATCTATAAGAAATCAGAAATGTCATCCATGTGAAAAGAATTACAATTAAGTGGCTTTCTTTGTCAACCAATCACAATTAGCACCAGCGAGAAGCGTAAAAAAAACACTTTCAATGGCTTTCTCTCACGATACAAATGCACGCCAATGAAATATGTAAAACATGCCAACACTCAAGTGGCTTTGTCTTTCAAAAAATCAAAATGCGCACCAATGAAGAGCGTAACGCATCGCAACACTAAATTGACTTCCTCTCTCAGTCAATCAAAGTGCGCACCAACGAGTAGTGTACAAACGAGCAACACTCAAATGACTTCTTCTCTTAACCAATCATAAAAACACAAAAATGTGTATTCACCAATCAGTGGTCGAGAACCATGGCACTATACATTTACCCCTTCGCTGTTTAAATTTACTACGGCTCTTTTCAGGTATTACACAGCGCTCGAGAGAACAATGTTTTACGATCACGTGCCAAGTGACCGACACATGGAATTGTGGGAAGCCAACGTCATGGTTCACCGTCGAGGACTGGAACTAATTCAGCCTGGCGCCAAATGCAGCGAAATAGCCAAAGAACTAAACGAATTGTTCTTAGAGAAAGACCTCCTGCAGTACCGTGCGTTCGGTTACGGGCATTCCTTTGGGGTTCTTAGTCATTATTACGGTCGGGAGGCGGGGCTTGAGCTTCGTGAAGATATAGACACCGTGATTGAGCCAAATATGGTGATCTCCATGGAGCCAATGATAACAATTCCTGAGGGACAACCAGGGGCAGGGGGGTACAGAGAGCATGACATCTTGGTGGTAAAGGAAGACGGCAATGAGAATATTACCAAGTATCCATTTGGTCCAACCAACAATATTATTAAAAATTAATATTAGTCTAAAGAGTATTAGTCACTAAAAGTAGCCAAAAATAAATGGGATAGAATAATAGAATAATAAAATAATAGAATAATAATAGAGTTAATAGAATAAACATTAGCTTTTTCTCGTTTTGGTTTTCCTGTGGCTTTGAGAATATTGCTGACTACATGTAATGTAGTACTCAAATCTTATAGCTTGTATACCAACAGTTTGCAAAGGAAATAAAAAAACATACTTTTCCATTTTGATGACTTATTTTTAATAGATTTTAGTAAATTAATTTTTGACTTCTTTTTTTATTTTATGTTTTGTTTTTCAAAATCCTACACTTTTTCTTTTAAAAGAGAAAATGTTCAAAAATCCCTTGAAACTGCATATTTAAGGTCTATAATAGAGCTTAACAAAAGAGACCTATAGCTCTTACTTGGAAACTACCCAAACAAGCTGCACACTCATATGGTTAGCTTCTTCAAGAAAACTAGTGATGGCATCCCTGTGTCAGAGATCACACAAAGAGCCTGGAACAAGTAACTCATACCATTCCTCCTTATTTATTTTCATATTACAAAGCTTCATTAGGATCCCTGTGTTACACGGCAGATTTGAAAATTGTATTTGCATGTACCAAATACTCCATGTTACAGTTCCGTTCAGTAACCACTAGTTGCAAGTCGAAATTGGAATTGCTACACGTAATAAACTGTAGTTTATGCTCTGCGCACCAACTCCAACCTTGACTTGGAATTATTATTCGTGGTAACTTAACAAAACTGTTAAATGGAGCATTGTCTAAAAAAACAACATGGCTGCTTGAAAACTTTGCATCTAACGTGAAATTTGATTGAGGTTTTCAGGGGAAAACATGTTAGTATAAGCATTAGAGCAATTTTTGCATGAGTGTGAAAAGCTCAGTGCTGTATGCTTCCCTTGCAATGACTGTGGTGTTTTCTAGAAATATTATAATAAGAAAAATATTCTACGCTATCTATGGATTTAAGCTGTCAAACCTTTTATTGATTAAAGTCCCATCTCGGCCATTAGTTCATCAGGATCTAGGGATGGTTTCTCTTTTGTTCTCTTCCTAAGCCGAGGTGTGCTGAGACTATGAGGAAAAAGAATATATATATATGTCGTGTTATACAGTAGCTTTTAAGGAGGCTCTGGGTAGTTTTAGTCTGGCACACCTAGCTGCATTGAAACGGCTACAACTTCGTCTTGAATAACTCGATCTGCAAGCGCTTTTCACACAATGTCAGGAAAGGATTAAAGGTTTCAAAAAT